GTCTCGCTGTTGACCTGAAGATGAAATTATGCTGTTGTCATATCTGATCTTTATTGCTAGGCATGTGGTAAATTTAGATAATCTGGCAAGTACAGTTTTGCAGGGTGGATCTTTCCATGAAGCTCTTTGATATTAACTTGATTCTTGCTGAATATTTCTCTTAATCAAGATAGTGAGTAGGCTTCCAAATTTCCAAGTAATCCAAGTTCCTAAATATCTGCAGAACTTCTTGAGTCCTAAATTAAAAACAAGGTACCAGAGGAAGGCAGAGGCTAAGCTTTTGGGTAAACTGACCAGAAATTGCGGGTGTGAAATCTTCTTTTAATTGAACTTTCTGTTGAACTCAGAGATTTGGGTTCTTTAAACATGTTTTCATGAATAAATGTAATGGGAATGAAAGCATAACCATGTTTATTCGAGTTTGAGGAATGCTTCCTTTTCAGGCAGTAAAATGCTCTTTCTTATCCTGTCTGTCTTAGATTATAGCAAAATGGATATATCAAATCCTCCCACTTCCAAATGTATCACTTACTGGAAAAGAAAAGTTAAATCTGAATACATGCGACTTCGACAACTTAAACGGCTTCAGGCAAACATGGGTGCAAAGGTAAAAAATAATTTTCAAGCGAAAGGTTTTATATTTGAATATATTGACCCAATGTGAAAGGTTTGGATTTTTTTTTTTTTTTAACTCTTCTCTTGAAATCCTAACAACTTTTTTCTTGGCTCTGCTAGGCTCTGTATGTAGCAAATTTTGCAAAGGTTCAAGAAAAAACCCAGATCCTCAATGAAGAATGGAAGAAGCTTCGTGTTCAACCGGTCCAGTTGATGAAGCCTGTGAGTGGGCATCCTTTTCTCAAAAAGGTACTTCCGGATGTCTAAGCTCAGCCTTCCTCTCTTCTTTGGATTTGGATTTGTGGTTAGAAAATGAGTAAGGATAATGGATACAGCTATTAATGGATACAGTCAACATTGAATAAGTAGGATGGTAAATCTGTAGCTGAAAGAACTTTTTTTACCTATTGATCTCAGTTAATGAGCATAATCATGAGGGTTTCATAGAAAAACGAGACATCGACTGTCTACTTTCCTGGGCTCTGTGTCCAGGCTTCGAAGCAACCTTTTTTTTTTTTT